TTGTCTTTCTTCTCTTTTGCTTCATCGTCTTTTGCTTTGGGTGTTGTGGAAGATGAGGTTTCAGGTGCAGTAGACGCTGATGCTTTCTTGGAGGCCGATGAGGACGATGAAGGAGGATATGTTCCAAAGATACACACCATCCAGTCGTCATCAAAGTCGACAGGCTCAAGGCGTTGAGAGTGGCTCAGTTCTCGAAGATCCTCCAAGTATTGCATCTGCCAGTGGGCGACATCACCTCGAATGATCAGTCTGAGATATGCGCTGTCGGCTCGTAGTTGTGGAGTTGGAGTCGGCTTGCTGAAGGGCATGATCAAGGCGCATACTCCTGAGACTGTCATCTTGTCTTCAAGAACCTTTCTTAGCCAGGAAAGGATCACTGGATTTGTGCTCCAGTGTACATAATCAACTTCTTTCTTGCCATTCTTCTCCTGGCTCTCAAAATCGTCGGTGCTGTCCTTGAGGATGGTGATCATGCAGTATTTGAAAAGAGCAATTTGTTCTTGATCCATGTCGAAGTTCGGCAGTGTGCCCAAGGTTGCTTTCTGAACCTTCTTGTTGTTCAGGGCTTCTTGCTTGAAGTCTGCCACTGGATCAGGAACAGGGATCTTGCCTTTTGGTCCATAGCCTTCAGGCCATTTGCCGTGTCGACATTGTCCTGGAATCAGGGTGTGTTCTTCGATGGACCATCTGCCTTCTCTGCACTTGGGACATTCATAGTAGATCTGTGTCATTGTCGTCGACCATTTCCTGATGTCCTTCAGGAGAGCATTGCAGAATTTCTTCGGATAGACAGCTGCCAGTGTGGTTCTGTTCTTTCCTTGTACTTGTCCTTGCAGCCAGCCATGCGGTCCAGCGTGTCCGCCACATCGTCGTAGTACATGATGTAGTGGCGCATCGCTGAGAAGTCCTGTAGGCTTCAGAATGGGGCGATGCTCTTCATCTTCAGCTCCAAATTGGCATTGGTCTGTTCGTTGAGGATGTCCAGGCATGTCATGGAGTTCATGCCAAAGAGCTGAGGACCAGGGCTGCTCTAGGACATAGTGTTTCTTCTGTTGACATTGCTTTACAGCACTTTCTTTGCAGAACTTCACACATGGCATTTCTTCTTGTCGTTCACGTTGAATCACTTCGGGCTCTCTCTTGTTCGAGGACACTGACCAGGGCCTGCAGTTAGGCGACATCATCAGAGTGTCGGGTGCAAACTGTTCTTGAACTTCTCGTAGAAGCTTCTGATGTGGAGGATGACCAATGTCCCAGCCGTAGCGCATGTCGACGGGGAAGAGAACGCACATGCCAGAGAGGAAAGCAAGTAGCGTCAGTCTTGCGCTGCCGTTGCACCATTCCCAGAGCTGTGTCTTCTTCTGTCGCTTCTTCTTGGAGACTCGGTCCATCCATTGCTTGACATTGTCAGGAGTGACAGGAGGGACCTTGAGATGCGTGTAAAACTCTTCGGGAATGGCTCGATACATCTTCTTGAGGTATGTGCGCTTCTCCTCTGAGATGTGACTGGGGAAGTGGTCACCTTCATATTCTTGGACTTCCTCTTCTGTGAACCAGTGGTCGTTGTGGTCCATGAGGTCAAAGTACTCAGTGTGGTAGTTCTTGTTCTCTCTCACGTCAGTGGCTGGTGGAGAGCCTTGCTCGTCAGTTGTCTTGTGGAAGAACTCGGTGAAGCCAGTCCACTTCTTGCTGAGAGGCTGTTGTAGGGAAGCATCGTTATTCCACTTGTCGTTGACAATCTCACTGGTGTCATCGAGGTAGTGAGCAGTTGTCTTTCTTCTCAGTGACAAGGTTCGCAGGTCTGCCGGGAACTTGCCTGCGAAGGGAGAGAACATATTGGTTCTCGGCCGGACGTGATGTCGAATCCAGCCAGTGGATGTTTGTTTCCAAAAATCACGGTGGTGCTGGTCCTTCTCCTTCTCCTTATCCTGACTCCTTGGTCGTGGATCATGAGGTTTATCATGCTGTGGTTCTGGAATCTCCTCGCTTGTGGTCCGATAGGTTTCATGTCTTGTTTCATCATCTCTTTGTTCTTGTTGTTCATCATGTTCATTGTGCTCATTCCGCTCAAGCCCGTGCGCCGCCTGAGTGGTATTCAGGAAGCAGTAGGCTCCTGAGACATTCACATCTTGCCAGCGAGAGTTGGAGATGTGCATCACTGCTCTCATGAAGTTCACAGTCTTGGTCTTCTCCTGGCGGTTGACTTGGTTGTCCATGTCAAGAGGAATGATGTAGTGACCTGAGTCTGTCAGCAGCAGGCGAATGAAGGTCATGTCTTCCTCTGTGGCCTGGGATGTCGTGTCAGACATACATACCATCAAGCCGTCATGGTTGGAGAACCATTCTGTGAAGATGACTGCGCGCATGTCGCGTAAACTGGGATTTGAGACGAGAGCTGGACACAGGCTTCCTTCACCTCCGAGGACATCGGCAGAGTATCGAGCTTGCTGCTTCGAATCCAACTTGAAAGGGAAGGAGATCTCTGCCATGGTCTGATCGCCTTTGCCGGAGATGCCTGTGACCGAGGTCTGCTTCTCTCGCCATTCAACTCCAGTTTCAAGACCTTGTGGCTTGATGCAGTTCTCCATGATATCTCGAAGTGTTTCGCTTCCAATCAGGCCAGCCGCTGCGCCAGGATCAACTAAGAGACCTCTGCGCTTAACTCCTTGGATCATGTGGAAGGTCTCGACAGTCTCGTTGTTGTCGCCAAAGTGCTGCATGACGGGGAAGTTGAGAACCTTCTCTTTGGGAGTAGATGCAGAGGCTGTTTGCTCTTCTTCACTTTTGTCTTCCTTCTCTTTGGTGTCATGCTTGTGGAGGTAGTCCTTCTTGACATTGCCAAAGACCTCGAAGGGCGATTCAGAAGATAGTTCAACTTTCTTCTTGGGAAGCGGAGGCACAGCTTCCTGTCGCTCAGAGATTGTAGGTCGTTCAGGTGTCAGGGCAATGCCTTCTCGAGCATGTCGAAGTAGTCGATGTTGTCGTAGTGGAGATCCATAGAGATCGTTTTCCTTCTTGGTGGCAAAGGTGTAGTCGTAGTAGCTTTTGCCTTTGTTCTTTCCTTTGCCATATTGGCCAAACTTGCCATAGCCTTTGGAGAATGGTCTGAAGCCTTTTCTTTTTCCTTTCCAACGACGAAAGCCGCCTTTGCCTTTTCCTTTGCCCTTAGGCCATGACTTTCCAGGGCCTTTGCCTCCTTTGGAGGAACCTTTGCTCATTGGGCAGGATGAGGACGAATGCCACTTGCTGCCACAAATTGTGCAGCCGATGTTGCCAAAGGATCCCGATGTTCGATATCCTTGGCCTTTTCCTTTTCCTTTGTAGTAGTCGTTGGTCTCTTCAGGAGCTTCTTGTGGTTCATCAGATTGTTGAAACCAGTCATCATAGTTTTCTTCTCCTTCAGGCCATTCTGCATAGTCAGGCCATTCACCTTCTCCATTGTCGTCTTCAAACCAGATCTGCCAGGCATCTGGGCTGTCCCATGTGTCATCAGTCCAGCTGTCTTCCATCTGGTAGTATTGCGTGTGGTAGTTGAGGCCGGTGTCATAGGAGTCGTAGTAGTCCCATGAAGTGTCATGCTCAGGCCAATTTCCACCAGAGGTTGAGGCGTAGTCATGTCGCTCTGGAGTATTCTCGTCGTAGTAGGTGTTGCCTTCCATGCTCTGGCGATGTGCCATTCTCAGAACCAGGGTCTTGGCTTCGTTGAATCTTGACATGTCACCTTGAAGCTGCATCAACACATCATCAACATGTCGTTGAGGGAGTTGAGACGCTCTGAAGAACAGGAAGGTCTTGGCGACGTTGTTGAGGTCAAGTCCTGCGTGCTTCATGGCTTCTTCGAGCCTCAGAGTCCATTCAACACTGAACTCTTGCAGGGTGAGTTTCTGCTTCCTGAAGTCGAAGAAGGCCTCAAGAGCTTTGGTGGATTGGAGTTGAGCTGAGTCTCCAAAAGCTTCACGAAGTGCGTTGGTGAGCGCTTGAACTCCTGAGGGTATGGCATGTTGGAGGATGATGTGAGGTTGAGCAGGATCTCTCACTTCATCCACTGCCAGTCTCACCAATGCACTGTCACCAACATCCACGTTGCCGAGAGGGTCAGGTAGTCGAAGCTGTAGTGCTATCTGTTGAGCTCTTCCTTGCAATCGTCCTGCCATTAGAGGACCAACAGTTTCGTCAGGGCCTTCGAACAACCTGTACCAGACTCGAAGACGTTCGAAGTAGAGCTTCAAGGGGTAGTCCGGGATGTTGGGAGCCCAGCCAGGAGGGACATCCTTTCTATACTCTTGCAAGGGTAATCCCGACACCGAGGACGGGGCAGATCCGTCCATGGCCTTCAACTCAAGGCCTTCTCAGGCTTATTCTCCCTGTCCGGAATCGTGGCCTCAAAGCCGTCAGGGATGAAGGGTCCAGGCGAGCAAGTGACCTGGATGAACGCAGCCTCCCAAAGCAGCCAGGAGCGCTAGCCAGCAGCCGAAGACCACCAGTATAGGGCTCGAGGATTCCTTGGATCGAGCGGAGTGCAGGTGCCGAAAACAGCGAAAGGCGTGCAGGTGAAAGCCAAAGCCACAGCAGCGCTATGGCAGGGAAAACCGAGGATATCAGTTAACCGAACGGGCCTATTCAAACCGGGTGGGGTCCCTGGAGCACGAAGCTCCGCTACCAAACTTGGTAGCGATACTTTTGAACTGCGAAAAGGTGCACCTGCGGTCAAGCTCAAATCTGTACGTGAGCATGCGTTCAAATCTTCATTCAATCATACCGTAATGAAACCATCAACCAACTGGATAGATTATTGTACAAAAATGTACAAAGAGAGGCGTACACTGTGCCTGCTCCAATTTCCAATACAAAGTTTTACATCGGGTGTGTGGAATGTGCACCACACATGGAACACAATTTGACATCATATAACAAACACACTAACAAACACATATACGTGTCATTTCCTTGAAGGACGTCTCCCGCGGGGTAAGCATAATCATTGAGCAACGCATAAGCGCCTCCGCCTGGCAACTCAGCACCGGCCCCAGATCGGTACCAGGTAGAAAGTTTGTTACTAAGACGCTTCGCTGTGAAAGGAGTCCAGCAGCCAAAGCCTGGAAGGCATCACCAAGCTGACATTCTTTCGCACTGTGTGACATGCTAAGACCAGGAAAGCCTGCGCCTGCGAAAAGAAAGTGTCCGCCATGGTGAAGGCATCTGGTACACATCCGTCGGCATCATATGCGTCAACAATCACCGCATCATACGGCCCAGTGGCATCAGCTTTCCCGACGGCAAATGTATCAACAGCACGGCACACAAATTGTGCACCATCTTCCAGCCACAAACGAATGTGGTCATCAGGTTGAAAGCCCATGGCTTCAAGAGATTCGATTACTGCAGGCTCGACCTCTACAACATCCACCAGGCAGCCTGGCAGCATGTCAACCAAAAATGATGGAATACTGCCACCACCAAGTCCAATACAAAGGACTTTCAGTGGCCTTTCTTCAGCCGACTCAAAGACAGGCGCGCCAACCATGACTAGCACCGACATGACGGCGCTGACAATTGACTTCGTGTAGGGCATCAGCAGGCAATTTCTGCACTGTTCTGTTTTTGCGTCGGTGTCAATGCACACTTTGTTGATGGCCTGGTCGCCAGGGTCGCTCGACAAACAGAACATTCCTGCACTGCTTCGACAAATGCTTCTTAAAAGGCTAGCGAGGGCTTGTGTTTGGTTAATGTATGTTAATTGTCAATGATGTTCTTCTAAAGTTTCAAAAGATCAACCTCCTGTGCAATCTTGAACTACCTGCAGAGTTCCAGAATCTGCAGTGTTCCCCACCGCCCCGCTCTGGCTGGAGAATGCTGGTGCACTGCTTCAAGACATGGCCATGGGGATGGGGCATGCCAGCATCTTTTGGACACTAAACCCATCTTCTGCTTGTCTGCCTGGATAAGATTTGAGCTGGCCCTTTCTGGAATAAACCGAAGCACTCGCCATTCCTGACACCATCCAGGAGGCAAAGCTTGTGTCGGCGATGCTTTGTGGGCTGTGACCTAGGAGAGGCAGTCCCGAAAGAGCCTCTAAAATTCAAACTTCAATGATGTGGGCAGCAAGTAGAACGGAGCAACTTTCAGGACAAAAACATATCACAGGCCTTTTGCAATTTGTCAAAAGAAAGGAACACGCAGCTCACCGCCAAACTTCATGGATCGACGGCGCAGTTCACGACCAGGACCCAAGATTTCGACGGTCAACGCCTCAGCAGGACTGAGATCTTGACACGAAATATGCAATCAAAGCATGAAAACACTGCACGGCAACACATTGAATCCACATGAGAGCCACCCACCGGCCTCGTGTCCGGGATCACGCGCAGCAAAGAAGCCTGGGACTGCTGCAACTGCCGCTCGAGACCGGAGACGAGGCCAGGCTTGACGGACCATGGGATGCCACGGGATGCCATTGGCCAACGGGCCGTGAAGTCTTCATCTCAAACGTTGGGAAGAAAATGATATAGAACCAACTTGCATTGTTGCATTTTCTAGTTTCTAACATATCTTCGAACATCCTTTCAGACTTCACGATGATTATTATATACAAATTGTTTCTCCGTGGGGTCAGGAACTTGGTTGAGAGCAAAGTCTTGGATGGCTGACAAGAGTTTGGAAGCGAGCATGCGGCGCAAGCAACATGATGATTCCGAGCGCATGCTACATGGCTAATATGGGACGAAGCAGTCTGACACATCACGTCACTTTTGCGGCTGGTGGGCAAGTGATGTATGCCGGCGTGCCGAACCCGTTTCGCCATTGGACGCCCTTCAAGGGACGCTCCAATGCGTAAACATCATCTCCAATAGGGTTACAGCACCGACACACACATAATTGGATTGGACCCAGCCAAGCATCGAGCCAAAATGTGCGGAATGCACTGGGCTTTGCCCGTACTCTGCTTGTTTTTGGTTCAGCTCAGCTCGTTCGTTTGCACTTGGAGTTGCCGCCAAAGCTGGCCACCTCGCTGTGCAATTCATCTAAAAAAGTTCCCTTTAGGGAAGGAAAAGGAAAGAGACATCGACTACTTTAACATCACCACCAGAGCTTGTTCAGCTCCCTTGAGCTACAGCATCACCATTTGCAGCTCTTCGGTGGCAAGCGCACCGATGAGCTTTCTACATCAACAGACTTCACTCCAGCTGAGTCATCAAGGTGCACAGCCGTAAAACCAGCGGTGTTGATCAAGGGAGCACAGCAACCTCCACCACCTCCTGTAAGGATATTGATGCAAATACCATCTTTGTCCTTTAAGTCGCATCCTTGATTGTGGTCATGACCATAGGCACACAACACTTTCACCTTTCCCTTACGCGCAGGTGGCAAGGAGTTCTCAAAAATGTCCCGGGGGCATTTTCCAGGGTAGTGCTGAATGATGAGAACAGTGTCAGCTTGGCCAGCCTTATTTTCAGCTGCCCGCTTCCTCAACAAATCCTCTCCAGATTCCGTCAGCTTCTGCAGGAAGGCCTGGGTGGTTGCCTGCCCACCGCACTTCTCGTCAGCTTTGGCCCGGCCTTTCTTCTCACCACCTATGATGGTGGGTTCCACTTTCGCATTTGTGTCCACCGCAATGACTTCGAGATTCGCCTCCGGAAGTTCATAGTGATAGTTGTAGTCTGGCAGCCAGTAATGCTCAGTGAAATGAGGTCGGTCTGGATACTTGTCCAAATTGAGTTGATGACTCGAATAGGGTTGGCCACCAACGATCTTCCGAGGAAACAAATGTGGGCAAAAGGCATGAGGATCGCTGTTCCCAAAGTCATGATTCCCATACCTATGAAAGGCAGCACATGAGCCGCAAACAAGTCAGAATCATGCGCAAATCTCACAGCTGACAGCTTCACTTTGCCACCAAGGTGCACAGACAGCCAGGGTACTCGGAAAAGCGGTGAGTTCGGATCATTTGCACCGTATGGCTGGGACCAGCTCCTCTCCCATGCCTCCGGAGCAGCTCTGGTCAGAAAAAGCTTGCCAATGCTCGTTGCATCTCGTTGCTCAAGAACACCTAGACTACAATGTTCTACAGTATATAACAGTATATACTATATACACATTGCTCGTTTCGTTTGAGCCTCTGGGGTAGCTCCAGTCCAGTAGAAGTTGTCCCCTACCGAGCCAATGAAAAGAAGATGCTTGCCGGCAGCTTTCTGCTCTGTGACGTACTCACGCAAGCGGGCTGCAACTGCCAGCTGACAACTCCCTGGACCACCAGCCTTTCCCCAGTCCCCGATAATCAAGAAGTAGTTTCTGCTGCGAAGACCTTGAACCTTGATCTTCAAGGGGTTGGAAGCATTGTATTGATTCACATACCTCTCAATCTTTGGCCGCGGTGGATAGAAGTGAACTGTTGTGGTGGTTGTTGTTGTGATAGGTTCGTGCCATCCATCGGCACTCCATCCATCAGCACTCCATCCATCGGCACCCCATCCATCAGTACTCCATCCATCTTCATAGCCACCACCACCGTACGGCTGAGGTTGAGGCTGACGCTCCCTGGAAATGCCTTTATCCTTTGGCCATCCTTCATTGAGGTGTTCATCAAATGAGTAGCCAGCGGGCTCTGAGTTCCATGCCCTATCACCATAGGCACTGCCTTGACCACCCAAATCTGAGTTCCATGCACTACCACTATAGGCACTGCTTTGACCACTCATGCCTGCATCATTGTTTCCACCAGCGTCCTGGTCATTGCTTCTGACATTGCCATAGCCAAACTCATTGCCATACGAACCGGAAGAAGCTACTGGCGAATCTGTTCCTTCCCAACCGCCTTCATCGTCCCAGTTCGGATCAGCAGTTGCGCTCCACTTGGGGTACTTGTGATGTGAGGAATCGAAGGCTTTTTCAAAGGAGAGATTCGATGAGATCAGTTGGTGTTCTTTGCGAAAGATCACGAAGCACAGCCCTAAGGCCACAAAAGCTCCAGCGGCTCCAAGCCTTGCAAACCACTTTGGGAAATGCCTGGGTGCCAGTTTTAACGGAAGAGAGAAAAACGAAACAAATCCACCGGGGAAAATGAGGGTGTGGTCTGTGGTATGGGATCAGAGGCAAGTCTTCAAACTGCACCAGCTTCGCTCCCAGACTCAAGTGGAAACACGGAAGGGAAAGCATGGCAAACACCGGTGTTGCGAAAACAAATGAAGCAAAACGGAAAGGCAAGTCAAGTTGATGTCCAATTCAGGATAAATATTCAATAGCGGCGTCTGTCTGAGAACAAACATTGGACACTGCAGCTCAACCTTAAGGAAAAAAATAAAGAGTTGTATAATTGCCAATGATGCAACCGCTCTTGGAACACCAGCCTGTCATATATCATCAACCTATCGCCCTCTTGAATAGTTCAATATTTTACTGCATGGAAGTGTTCTGTGGGCCATTGCTTCAAGATGCTGCTCGGGGTTGTTGGAACTGTGCAGTGGGATGTCATCTGGGCCACTTAGCAGGAGCTCTTCGTCACCAACCAGGGGCATGCAGCTGCCTTCTCCTTCCTCCGACATATCAGCCGCAAGCAGGCTCACCACGAGTGCAAGACTTTCACAGCAAGAGTTCAGAGTAGTTAGACCATGTTAAGATCAGCTGAGGTGGAAGTGCGTGAAAAGATTGCAGGGAGTGTTTCGGTGACCAAGGGCCAAGCGTTGAGGTTAAGCCTTCAAGTGTGTCTGCTTATAACGTGAGTCGCTTGAGGTTCAATTCATGATGATGGCAAGTAAACAGTTTTTTGACATGACTGGGAAACATAAAGCAATAGTTTTGCTCAGCAGCTCTGGCTCCTTTTCAGATCGCCCAGCACTGTGAATTGAGCCCGGAAGACAAATGTCAATGTGGGCACGAATTGAGTCTCTATGGGTATCAAAGTGGCCTTGCCGGTAAGTGTCCAAGCTGTCCGAGCTGTGGATCGAGCTTTGCTGGCAGTCGCCAGCCAACACGAGAGCCAAGAAACAAATGGCATGATCCTTTACAGGATCCTATAGAAACATCCCACTCACGGAGAGTTCTATGTTGCAGTGATCAAACCTGTGGCAAACTCGCCTGGCACTGCATCAAACACAAACGCAACATTGACTTGTGCACCGACCGCCTCCCAAGAATCCATCCAAAGGCCCTTGTCAGAATCAAGCATATCTCACCATCGCAAACATTGCACATCTGTACTGTGTAACCATTGTGCTTGCACAAGGCGTACATCGGCATTCATTAGCGGATGCCAGTGGCTAGACTACACTTGAACCGATCATGATATGTTCTTGATAAGAATCGGTCCCCGCATACTTGAGCAGCTGCAGCTACATTGGACGAAGGCTACAGCGGCTACAGGCATTTCATATCATTTCATCATGCCTGCCATGGATGCTGCATTCTTTCAATTAGAGAAGGGCAGTTGCGGACGCACATTTTGGCATTGGTGCTTCACTCTCTGAATAGATTCAACAAGGAGCCGAGGCATAGGTCCTAGGTAGCAAGTCTGCATTAATTAAATTGACCGGGCCCATGATTATTTTCAATTGACGTCGATTGGGGAACAAACACTCATGGCGCTTGACTAGAGGGTAGTCATCGCTTCAATCGGCGGGTGCAAAGTGCGAAACTGTTCCAGCATCGCATTCTTAAACTGGACATGCAAGTGGCCCGAATTCTAACGTGCAACACCTTGCAGTCCTAACTCACCACGGGAGCCAGGACATCATTCTTCTCCGCTTCGCCTTGGAGCACTTCAGGCTGAGCCATGTTCCGAAGGGGCCATACTCCCCGAAAGCCAAGTTGACTATACAACCCTTCCAAAATCTTCAATGAAAATCATAGATATATATATACAGTAATAACAACTATTGTGTATATATATATATGTCCTGAATACGTTGACATAGTGAGTGACTGTGCCAACGGCCGTAACAGGCCGCTGATTCTGCTTTGTTTGTTGACGATGACGATGGCAATGATGATGCTGATGCTGATGCTGATGCTGATGATGATGATGATGATGATCGCTCAAAAACCTTTTGGAGCCACTGCACGCAGCCAATCCCGGTGAAACATGCAATTGCCTGAAGATGTTTAAACAGCAAAGGCTTGTCAACATGTTGGTCTTTGTACTATCTATCAGCACCGCTCAACAATGCCAGGATCTTGTTCAAGCGGTCAATGTCCTCGAAAATGCGCAATAGCAAGCCACCTGGATAAGGAGTCACAGCAGCAGGGCTGTCCTCTTCGCCATCACCACCTCCAATTCGCCACTCTTTGGCCCTGGTGCTGCGAAAGGGTTCCGCTTTGGAAGAAGCTTCCGTTCCATCCGCCGAAGCAATCACAGCCAAAACTAAGCGAATGTGCTAGGTCATTGCAATGCTTTCTCAACCATTCTCAACGACCAACTGTAAATCCTTCATGGCCCGACTCTGAATAGCAGCCTCACACACATACATACAATGCAAAATCCCCCATGCTCGTGCCAGCGCCTTTGGCTGACAATATCACTGGGTGTTCCTGCACTCTGGTGTTACAGACAGAGATCCAAGGAGAAAGCAAAACCACATACCCGTGTACCGCTCATATCGAATCTCCTATTGTGGGTTTTTCCCGAGAGCATTGCGAAGGGTTCTCCCAGAAAATCCCTTGAACACTGACACTTCGACACTTACACTCACACACTGACACTTCCACCACACTTGCACTACTACTTGCACTACAACATGAACGCTATACGTACCCCAGTGTTACGTACCCCAGTGTAAGTGGAAGAGCGAAAGCATCCAAGTGCAAAGTATGCAAGTGTAATGATGCAAGTGCGATGATGAGTATGCAAGCATGCAATGACTATGCAAGCATGCAATGAGTGTGAGCATGGAAGAACAGCGTCAAAACACTAGCACGGGAAATGTCCTAATGAAAAACATTTCCCCACTTTATAAATGCTCTCTTAAAGGCGGAGGGTGGGACGAACAGCGTCAACCGAAAGTGCAACCCTCTGCGGAGATCGTGCGCGTCGAGTGCGCGAAATGCAGGCGAGAGTGCGATTTGTCCGGTGCTCGCGCAACCCTCTGCGGAGATCGTGCGTGTCGAGTGCGCGAAATGCAGGCGAGAGCGCGATTCGCCCGGTGTGCGCAACCCTCTGCGGAGATCGTGCGTGTCGAGTGCGCAAAATGCAGGCGAGAGTGCGATTGGTGCGGTCCGCGCGCAACCCTCTGCGGAGATCGTGCGTGTCGAGTGCGCGAAATGCAGGCGAGAGTGCCGCGCGTCGGCTGCCCGCGCAACGATCTGCGGAGATCGTGCGCGTCGAGTGCGCGAAATGCAGGCGAGAGTGCGATTTGCCGGCTGCCCGCGCAACCCTCTGCGGAGATCGTGCGTGTTGAGTGCGCGAAATGCAGGCGAGAGCGCGATTTGTCGGCTGCGCGCGCAACCCTCTGCAGAGATCGTGCGTGTCGAGTGCGCGAAATGCAGGCGAGAGTGCGATTTGTCCGGTGCGCGCGCAACCCTCTGCGGAGATCGTGCGTGTCGAGTGCGCGAAATGCAGGCGAGAGTGCGATTCGTCCGGTGCTCGCGCAACCCTCTACGGAGATCGTGCGTGTCGAGTGCGCGAAATGCAGGCGAGAGTGCACGTGATTGAGTCTGTGCGCGCGCAACCCTCTGCGGAGATCGTGCGTGTCGAGTGCGCGAAATGCAGGCACTGGCGACTTTGTATAGTGCAACTTTGTACGCGGAGCCATCTGTGGAGCTGGAAGCTGAGAACTGGCGACTTTGTAGTACAACTTTAGTGCGCGGAGTATCTGGGGAGCTGGAAGATGAGAACTGGCGAAGTTGTAGTACAACTTTAGTACGCGGAGTATCTGGGGAGCTGGAAAATGAGAACTGGCGACTTTGTAACTTTGTAGTACAACTTTAGTACGCGGAGCAATCTGCGGAGCTGGAAGCTGAGAACTGGCGACTTTGTAGTACAACTTTAGTACGCGGAGTATCTGGAGAGCTGGAAGATGAGAACTGGCGACTTTGTAGTGCAACTTTAGTACGCGGAGTACCTGGGGAGCTGGAAGATGAGAACTGGCGACTTTGTAGTACAACTTTAGTACGCGGAGCAATCTGTGAAGCTGGAAGCTGAGAACTGGCGACTGTGTAGTACAACTGTAGTACGCGGAGCAATCTGTGGAGCTGGAAGCTGAGAACTGGCGACTTTGTAGTACAACTTTAGTACGCGGAGTATCTGGAGAGCTGGAAGATGAGAACTGGCGAAGTTGTAGTACAACTTTAGTACGCGGAGTATCTGGGGAGCTGGAAGATGAGAACTGGCGAGTTTCTAGTACAACTTTAGTACGCGGAGTAGCTGTGGAGCTGGAAGCTGAGAACTGGCGAGTTTCTAGTACAACTTTAGTACGCGGATGAGTTGTCTCTCGCGGCTGAGTCATCTCTCGCGGCTGCTCTGGCGCCCCTGCAGCTGAGTCATGTCTCCCGACCACCCGGCTCTCTTGAGAGGTTGACGCACACACACAGAGACCCACGCACTGCCTCAACTTACTCGGACACACACACAGACAGAGACTCATACACACACAGACATAGATACACACACACAGAGACCCACACACTGCCTCAACTCACTCGACTTAACACTTCACACTGAACACTTAACAGATAATTCACACTCTGACTTCCTACGTGATGAAAAATGCTTTCGGGCCACTCGTCGTCTAGTTCTATTGACATGTCCAATATAGCCAATAGACATTTGTTTGCCCTTGTGGATCTTGTATGATCATGTTGTGTTCTCTGTGTAAACCATGCTTTCTGCCCGCATGTAGGATGCGCTCCTCCCGAACTCATTAAGCATGCATCAGCTCGCGCTTCCAGCAAAAGCTGCGCAACCTGGAATGCCCGTCAACAAAACCGCAACACGGCTGTGTGGACGAGTGTGACAATGACAACATATGGCCGCAACAATAAATATGTGCAGGCTTGCTGCATGCTGCGCTATGTGCCAAAAGTGTTGGCACCTCAACGTGGGCATCGTACGCCGCCATATGCAAGGCTGTGCGGTTGCCAGCATCTTCCACGGAAAGATCGGGGTTGGCACCTCCAAATGCTGAGCAGAACTCAATAGTTGATATCATATCAATCCTTAGGATACAGTATCTCTAGGCCACTTCTAAGGCTGTTGAAGAACAGAAAGGAGCGCTCTCAGCGCCGCGTTTTTGCATGTCTTTGATCGAACTATTAAGTCCACTGTTCCCTCACACCTTGCCTGAGGTTTCTCCTCACCTCAATCTTTGTCAGCATTGTTGCTTTCCAAGTAAATTCGCACAAACACAACAACAAACAACTCAATTGTGAGAGGACTTTGCCCCTCCTTCACCCCAATCTTTGCCAGCAACGGTGCTTTTCAAAACAAACTTGAGATCTGTGGAGTTCCAAGGAAAATCATTCCAAAACAACATCAAAAATACCAATAATAGTCATAGTGGAAGCTAAATGATCCTGTCCACCTATCAAAAAACACGCCTCCCCCCCCCCATTAAGAGAAACTCGGTCGCATTTTTGTTAATAGGGGGTCCCGGAAATCGGGGGGGTCCAAAATAGGGTCACCTGGGAAGAGCCTCGAAGCCAAAAAGTCATCAATTTTTTTAATATACAACTTTTTTTATTAAGCTCGTATCAAAAATTCAAAAAACCTCCAGATCGAAGGGTCGTCCTTTTCCCCTACACAAGCTTTTATTGGAATACTGATTCTTCATAAGACTAACAACCAAAGCTTTCGAAAGGCCATGTCGATGTGCCATGCGGGTTTGCACGACCTCGGTGGAAAGTGCGTTTGCGTGCGTCCGTGCCATTGGAGGAAGGAACACCTGCTGGTGTAAACGCGGCGTGTCGTCACGGTGGATACACAGGGCGGACAGATGTGGGCAGTTACGGTTGTTTTTGGAACCTAATAAAAGAAACTACCCCCAAACATCGACCATGTTGGTAGTTCAGTAGCGGGCTGAAAGGGCGGCAATTGAAAATAAGCCGAATTGAGGGTTTCGGACGTGGTGTTTCTTTAATTGGGGATGCTCTTTTAATAGGTACTCTGGATTACACTTTAGCAAACAAACATAGATCCAAATCCAAAAAAAAATACATTAACACGGAACGCGGACAAGCCCCAAGTAGCCTAACATAGAATAGGAGTCCAAAACGTCTCTCCAGAATGAAATTTCTATGTTAGTCTCATGTCCCTCTGTCCGAGCAAGTTCTATGTTAGTCTCGGTTCCCTGTGTCCACACATCCTCCCTCCCTTCAAAAAGGGCGAGAACAGGTATTATAACTATACCTGTGACATTTGTACGGGAAGTGCTTCCACTTGTTGGCTTTGCTGTTTTTGTTCACGTTCACTCGGTACTGTAGCCCTCTTTGGACTTCAGTATGGTCTGCACCGTGCTACTGTACTGTAAGAAGAGCCAGCAAGTACTGTACCATTGCTGTGCTGTACTGACAGAATCAATCACGCAGCGTTAACATAGAGCACGGGGTGACATTTCTCTACCTCAGTGCAGCTTACTGTACTGTATCTTGAAGGATGGAAGCCATTTGTGTGGGGACCCCTTTCCGAGGCCAAAACAATCATTTCTGGTGGCAGTTGAGTAAAATATTTTATACAACATGTTCAAGTGTTGGTTTGGCTGTTTTGGTTCACCCACTGTGAATACTAGGTAGCCAACTTTGGACGACAAGTGCTGTACTGTAAGAATGGCAGCCAATACTGTATCATGAACGTACCGACAGAATCACACACAGCCGTAACATAGAACACGGGGTGACATTTCTGGGAAGTACTCTACCTCATT